CACAGGTGGACTTAGAACCTTTGCATTTTGGCTCTGATTCAGTAGGTCTGGGTGAGGCCTAAGATTCTGCATGCCTAACAAACTCTCAAGGAGTGGCATGCTGCTGGTCCAGAGGGGTCCACACTCTGCCTAACAAGGCTCTGGGACATGGGCTATCAATGCTGGCCTTGCATTAGAATCACTGCACAGCAAAAAAAAAAAAAAAGCCAAAGAGAAATAAATGGACCCCACTCCAGACTAATTAAATTAGAATCTCTGGGTTTTTTAATTTCTCCAGATAATTCCAATATGCAGCTAAGATTCAGCATAGTTGGCCAGTTGTGGTGGCTCTTGCCTGCAATCCCAGCACTTTGGGAGCCTGAGGTGGGTGAATCACCTGAGGTCAGAGTTTGAGACGAGCCTGGCCAACATGGTGAAAGCCCATCTCTACAAAAAATGCAAAAATTTGCTGGACGTGGTGGCAGGCGCCTGTAATCCCAGCTAACTGGGAGGCTGAGGCAGGGGAATCTCTTGAACCCAGGAAGCGGAGGTTGCAGTGAGCCACCCTTGCACTTCAGCCTGGGTGACAAAGGAAGACTCCTCCTCAAAAAAAAAAAAAAAAAAAAGACTCAGCATAGCTGTTTTAAGAGGATTTCCCTTGTCTCTTATCAGACACTGAAGATAGATTCCAATGTAGAGGGCTAAATCACTTTAGTGTTCAATTTCAATTTTTGTCTATTGATATCCCAGGAATTCACTGAAGAATTGAGATTCCTGCCCTATTCGTTTAAGACAGCCAAAGCCCTTGCTCAGCAGGCTTGAGTGTTTCTGGTCATAAAGTCTTCTAATCGATTTCTTTCTTTTCCTTTCATTTTTGCTAAAGCCAACATCAAAAATCTAATCAGGCCACACTCTGTGAATACACAGCCCTTAGAAACACCTTGAAGCTTGATCCTTGCCCAGTTTTCTCTTTAACAAACTAAACTTTAAAAGCTCACTCTCATTCATACTTGACTTGAGTTTTCAGAGACAGAGACCACAGGCTAACCAACACCTTTGCCGTTTTTGCCAATTTACCATCCCCGGTTAAAAGAATCCTAAAAGCCATGCACCACTGCTAAGCTTGATTCACATCTTTTCTGAGGGCCTATTCCAGGAAATCCACTTATTTTGTTGCTATTTATTGGTTACAATATAGTCTGTTGCAAGCAACAGACATTAACTCAGGTTGGTGTGACCAAAATGTGAGAATTTATAAGGAAACAAACATGTCACAGAGCCTAGTACAGAAATGCAGCCATGTTTAAGGAAGGGCAATCAAAAGACTTTCTCTCAATCCTACTCTTCAACTTCCCTCTGCAGACCTCTGTTCTCAGCTTCTCTGTACACCAAGAGATATGGAAGTATCTCCACAGTTGCTAGGTTAACATATTACAGTTCCAGCTCCAAAGGAAGATTCAGACTTGACTGTCTTGGTCCTAATTCTGGAACCGAAGAGAGGATCTGACTGGCCAGTTTGAGCTGGGTGAACACTTCCTAGTCCAACTTGCTCTGGTTAATAAAACAGGGGAGCCAGAGACAAATCACTATGGGTGAGTAGACAATTCCCCAATGGCATGACAGAGAAAGGAACTTAATGAAAATATCTTATCACATCTTGTAAGCGAGGGTAGCTGAAAAGGCCAAAGGGAAAATACAGTCTCCACTATTAAAAGTCAATTTCACAGGCTGTACATAGCTGGGAGAATTTTATACATTCAGTACATATTTATTGGGAGCTTACTAGGTGTCAAATGCTGTGTCAGACTGGGAAATTAACAATGTATAAAACAGATACTTCTTACTAGACGTGCAGTCTAGTAGGAGACATAAAATAATGAACAGCAATTATAATATGGACTAAGTTATTATAACAGGGGTCATGCAGGATGCTATAAGAGTACCCAAAAGAGGAACCTTACCCAGACTTGGGACATCAGGAAAAGCTTCCTGGAGATAAATCATGTTTCAGCTTGGGCCTTTAAGATAAATATTAGCAAGGAAGGAAAGAGAAAAAAATTCCAGGCAGAGGTAATAAAGATCTTTATGAAGGTTCAAAGACAGGAGAAAATGACCCGTTGGCAAAAACTAAAAGTTTTATATGCCTAGAACCTCGAAAGACAGGTTCCAAGTTGTGGAGTCAAATAGTAGAGGGCCTTGTAAGGCATCTAGACTTTTTTTTTTCTTTCTTTTTTTTTTTTATTGCATTTTAGGTTTTGGGGTACATTTGAAGAACATGCAAGACAGTTGCATAGGTACACACACGGCAGTGTGATTTGCTGCCTTCCTCCCCTTGACCTATATCTGGCATTTCTCCCATGCTATCTCTCCCCACCTCCCCACCCTCCAGCATCTAGACTTTTTAAGAGCAGTTGTGCAGGAACTGGGGAGGGGCAATGAAGTACAGGAGTGGGTGTGCATTAAAAACAACAGTAGCAGCAAAAACTATTATTCCGGCTGGCCAGCCTAGAGTCCAGAGCAAGCAAACAACACAGGAAGCCTGGAGACTTCCAATTTACCATTCTTCGTTAGAAGATTTTGCCTTTGTTCAGTTGTTTCGACCTCTCGCTTACCTATGTCCTATCATTTGGGTCAAAAATTACATTTTCAGTTTTTCCTCCCTGGACTCCAAATAATGTTCGAAGTGATCATCTGGGGGAGCAAAGCGCTCGATCCGCTGCTGGGGCGCATCTCCGTGCAGCAGCAGCAGCAGCAGCAGCAACGCCGGGCGCTCAGCCTCAGCGTTTCCCTCCCAGCTCCAGGGCAGGTCCCAGGACGCGCAGCGCAGCCTGGTGTCAAACTGCCCCCGTCCGGACAGGCTCCCGCTGCCCTCGGCACTTACTAGATCTTGGGCTCAGCGCTGGTTTCAGGACGGCGTTCCAAGGCGCTCTCCTCCACCGGAGGCTCGAAGTAGGAGTTCAGCGCCCTCTGAAAAACAAAGGCACCGGGATGAGGTTAGTGCGCCCCGCCGACCCAGTCAGCGGAGCAGGACGCGACGCCCCCAAAAGCTTACTTCCATCTCCCAGTCGTTCTCGGCCAGGTAGCACTGAGCCACAGCGGAATCGCAGTTGGCGACCGAGGCAAACTCCAAACACAGAAGTCGCCGCTTCTTCACCGCAGGCTCGCCCTCTTCCCCCGCCGCCTCCGTCCCGCCCTCCAGGCAGCTCCCGAGCTCCATCGTTTTACCGCTTCCGCACCGCCCCTTTAAGCGGAACAGGCGGCCCACATCAGGCTCTGCGCAGGCGCCCGCGCACAGGCGCGCTCGCATCAATTGCCCGGCGGGGAAACTTGCTCCGCTCTTCGAGAATAATTGGTGCAGCTGCGCCACAAGCGAACCGCCGAGGCGGTGGGGACGAAACGCGCGTGCGCGCTCCTCACTAGGGGGCGGACGACAGTGGCAGGCGGCGCGCGTGACGCCCGGCCTCTTGCGCGGCTGTCGGGGGAGGAGGGTGTAGCCTCTTCGCCCTCGGTGTCCTTCTTCCATTAACTTCTGGGCTTTACGGCTCTTCCAAAGTTTGTTCTTGCGCAGAGCCCGAAAACCATCCGCGATGAACGGCGTGACCCAGAATCTGCGGGAGGTGCTGAAGGCCTTGGCCAAGTCTCGCTGTTTTGATAGAGTTTTGGAAAAGGTATGGGAAAGGTTTTTTGGGAAAGGTTTGGGAGGCGAAGACTCGGGTTCTAATGAAGGGAAAGAAAGCACCGTGCTTGGTGCTGTTGTGAGCTTGGAATAATTATCTCTCGTTAGGTTCTGTCCTAGTACGCGTGTAAATTCATCTTAGTATTAATAATTGCTACTTAAAGGAGCTCCTAAGTATGCTCGGTCGAACGCATACGTTCTCTATCTAAACATAGATAAGTGTGATGATGACTCGTGGAGACAGAATTCCTCAGTTCTAGAGCTGGAAGGGACTTTGTAGTTGGATACTTCCACAGACAAGCGTCTGCATTCCTCCAGATAAGGGTTAAGAGAAACCTCTACATTTAAGGCGCATTATTAATTTTCTAGGCTCTAAAGGATTAGAAGATAAATAATTCCAATAAGGTACAAAAGCCAAGTGCTTGGTAGAGTGATGAATGAAGGGAGAAGTTGTTCCTCCTGTTGGTTTGGGAAATTTCTCAAATGCATGCAACTCCTGAAGAAGTAGGTTAGCCCTTAGGGGAAGACCGAGTCCTTTTAAAACCAGCACTCACAAAGCCTGGAGGTGTTTTAAGAGATTCCTTTTGGGAAGCAGCGAAGTGCCACAGAGCTAGGCAGAATCGTCACTGCCCCTTTCGTTTGAGCTAGGCCAGAGTCAATAGTTTTAAGTGTCCTTGTGTAGAGAGTCTTGATTGCAAATTGTCTTAAGTTCTTGGCATTTTAAACAAAGATTTGGACAAAGCACCCAGCAAATAAGCAAAGAATGAAGCAATGAAAGAACAAAAGCAAGGATTTATTTGTTTGTTTGTTTACTTATTTGAGTCAGAGTTTCGCTCTTGTGGCACAGGCTGGAGTGCAGTGGCGCGATCTCGGCTCACTGCAACCTCCGCCTCCCGGATTCAAGCGATTCTACTGGCTCAGCCAAGTAACCGGGATTATAGGCAGGCGCCACCACATCTGGCTAATTTTGTATTTTTGGTAGAGAGGAGGTTTCATCTGATAGTCTTGCTGATCTCAAATTGCTGACCTCAGGTAATCCACCTGCCTCAGCCTCCTGAAGTGCTGGGATTACAGGCGTGAGCCACTGTCCCGGCCAAAAGCAGAGATTTATTGAAAATGCAAGTACACTGCAGATCCCAGCACTTTGGGAGGCCGAGGTGGGCGGATCGGGAGGTCAGCAATTCGAGACCAGCCTGGCCAACATGGTGAAACGCCGTCTACTAAAAATACAAAACTTAGCCGGGTTTGGTGGTGCTATCTAAAATCCCAGCTACTCGGGAGGTTGAGGCAGGAGAATTGCTTGAACCTGGGAGGCTGAGGTTGCAATGAGCTGAGATCACGCCACTGCACTCCAGCCTGGGCAACAAATCAAGACTCCGTCTAGGGGGGTTGCGGGAGTGGCGGGGTGGCGGGGTTGCGGGGTGGGAGGGCGGTGGAGGAAAGAAAGTACACTCCAGTGTGGGAGCAGGGCGAGTAGCGGCTCAAGAGCCCTAATACCACGTAAAGGCTTCCCATTAGCCACTTGGTAGTCACCTCGTGTAAATGAAGTGGTGACCTGCAATTGGTTGTAGAAAGCAACCCTCAGAGGCTAAAGTGAAGTTACAAAGTTGGACTTCCGTGCAAACAAAGACTTGACCTGCAATCAGAGGCTGAAGTGAAGTTACATAGTTACACTCGTTAGGTCTGATTGGTTGCAAAAAGCATAATTTTTTTTAATAAGGGCTAACCACTCATTAGCATAATTTTGCTTTTTACAACCAATCAGAGGTACTTTAAGTTTCCCATCTGCCACGCAGAAAAGGTGGGGGTTTGCAAAGGGAGTTGGTGTGGAAAGTTAGGGTTCTCCTTTCAATTTAGTTCTAGGAGGTCGCAGTGAAGCCCCTGGGTTCCCTGCCTCCAGACCCTATTCTCCTGCCTCACTTGTAAAAAAATCGTGTTCTATAAGAAGCATTTATAAAGAAACCTTGTGAACCCCGAAAATTTGAGGCAGGTCTCAGTTCATTTACAAAGTTTATTTTGCCAAGGTTGAGGTCGTGCACAGTGACACAGCCTCAAGATGTTCTAGCAACATGTGCCCAAGGTGGTCAGAGCACAGCTTGGTTTTATACATTTTAGGGAGATATGAGACATCAATCAGTGTATGTAAAATGAACACTGGTTTGGTCCGAAAAGGCAGGACAACTTGAAGCAGGAAGGGGCTTCCAGGTCACAGGTAGGTGGGAGACAAATGACGGCATTCTTTTGAGTTTCTGATTCACCTTTCCAAAGGAGGCAGTCAGATACACTTACCTCAGTGAGCAGAGGGATGACTTTGAATAGAACGGGAAGCAGGTTTCCCATAAGCAGTTCTAAGCTTGAATTTAGTGATTTGGGGGCTTAAGGTATTTTCCTTTACATTTGCCCCCTTTTTAAAAATCCGTTGGATAATGCATTTTAGAAGAAAAATGAGCCTTTGGTCCCAGATGTCATCTGATCACTCATGGCTAGGATAGTTTATTCCTAGACTGGTAGGTCCTGTGTTATTAGGAAAGCTAATTTTTAGAAGGCTGGGAAGTCTCATGTCCTATGAAGAGAAGATAAGGGGAGGAAAGGAGAAAAACAAAAAAAACAATCCTGGAAAATCTATATAGGCCACATTATTTTGAAGCCCATATATCAGTTGGCTGGTATGAAAGTGGCTTATGTATATAAATAGGTTGCTCTTATTTTCTTCTGAAGTTTAAGTTGTCTAGCTTCAGTTTGCAGGGCTTTATGAAAGAACAGCTAAGTTTTCTATGATTTCAAATTAGGAAAAATGGAGAAGAATGAAGAAAAAATTGAAAATATTATTTGGGAGACTTGTAGCCAAGAAAAATTAGAATTCGGCCCAAACTGTAGAAAATAATAAAAATTGAAAAACATTAAGCAAGACTAGAAGCTAACAATAGGTGGACTATAGCTTTTGAAACATAATTTTTCTCTCTCTTTTTACTAAAGACAAATCATGATAGGACTGATTTGCTTTATTTTACTTGGCCAGATTATTTGTATAAAGTGCAGCAAGAATAATTATTTCTCACACAGTCTTTTTAAAATTGGCTTTAATGGACCTTTATTCCATAGAAGGAATTAATCTCAGATAAGACTTTAAAGCCAAGCCCAGCCATTGATTTGTACCATGAAGTACCTGTGAGTTTGGTGAATGTCCTCTCCTCTTGGTGTTCCGTGATAAACCAGGGGCTCCTGGACCTGTCAGAAAATGTTATTCTTTATTTACCATGGGTCAGAAACGCTGTACAGGGACTATGTAAAGTATGAGGCCAGTTTTCCCAAGGGATCTTGTTGGCTCCATATGTCAACTTTGATTTCTTAAAGGAAAGCAAACCGTTCCAGTCAAAGCCTTGGTAAAATAATCAGTTTCTCCAGCTGTGTCCTTTTACAAATGAAAGCAGATTCTTATTACACTTACGCAAATAACTGTATTGCCACAAGTTAAGAATACTTACAAATAGTTTCCAAATTCTGGAGAAATCAGGTAGAAAGAAACAAATATGCTCTAGATAATCATAAGAATATACTTTTTTTTTTTTTTTAAACAGTCTCACTCTGTCACCCAGGCTGGAGTGCAGTGGCATGATCTTGGCCCACTGCAACCTCCACCTCCTGGGTTCTAGTGATTCTCCTGCTCAATCTCCTGAGTCACTGCGACTATGGGCACATGCAACCACACCTGGCTAATTTTTTGTATATTTAGTAGAGATGGGATTTTACTCTGTTAGCCAGGATGGTCTCAATCTCCTGACATTGTGATCTGCCTGTCTCAGCCTCTCAAAGTGCTTGGATTACAGCTGGGATTACAGGCATGAGCCATTGTGCCTGGCCTTTTTTTTTTTTTTTTGAGATGGAGTTTTGCTCATTGCCCAAGCTGGAGTGCAATGGCACACCATCTCGGTGCACTGCAGCCTCTACCTCATGGGTTCAAACTATTCTTCTGCCTCAGCCTCCTGAGTAGCTTGGACTACAGGCACACACGACCACACCTGGCTGATTTTTGTTTTTTTAGTAGGGATGGGGTGTGACTGTGTTGGTCAGGCTGGGCTCGAACTCCTGACCTCAGGAGATCCACCTGCCTCAGCTTTCTGAAGCGCTGGGATTACAGGCATGAGCCACCATGCCTGGCTTGGAGTATACTAAACTGTTAAAAGCTGTCAATAGCTAAAAAGAAAAGTTTCAAGACTCTGAAAAACAAAGCAAAAGATCAACAACGTTTTAGGCAAAAAGTCAAAAAGATTAGTTCAGTATGTGTAGCTAATTCCTGTTCTACTTGCTATTCGTGAACATTTTAGCTCTCCATGAGTCCTGAAAGTTTTTCTTCTATTCTCATGTAATAATTTCCAAAGTTATTGGAGACCAGCATTTAAAAGGACCTGTTAGAGTTTTATAGCTGATTATAAAACCACTTTCTAAAGAGGACCAAGACAACACAACATTTGTCCGTTGTCATGCTGCATTCCGGAAGTTGCATTGAATTTCAGGGCGGCCATAGTCAAAGACACAATTGATGAGGAAATTTGTTACTTCTTCTCTGTAGCACACAGTAATTTTAAGGTAACAATTATGATTATTACTGATAATGTACACTAAGTTATATCAGAATTACAGGAGTTTCCCATAATTTTGGAACACATACCAATAACATATGTATACAAATATACATCTCAAAGAAAACCAAACACTGTCTCTTATTTGACAATGCTTCCTATGTTTTTGTGCCATATAAGCCAAATTATGCTATTTTTTGGACGTTAGGGAACCTAATATCTTAAAGGACTAATTAGGTCAGAAAAAGACATAATTTATAATTTGATGTTGGAAAGTTTGTCAGATATAGAATGTTTAAAACATCTGAGATCACAAAATAGGATCACATTTCATTGTGAAATAAATCATTCATTTAGCCAAAGTAATAACTCAAGGATTCCAAAAAAAAGTGAAAACCTTCATTCTTTGAGAGAGGAGACTTAACTTTCCAAACAACAAGCCCTAATAAAAACAGCATGAAGTAAATTAAATTTGCTTTTCAAAATTTTATAAACAATCTATAAAATTTTGAACTTGACCATAAGATATAACTTCCTACCAGGCACGGTGGCTCATGCCTGTAATACCAGCACTTTGGGAGGCCAAGCCAGGTGGATCATGAGGTCAGGAGATCAAGACCATCCTGGCCAACATGGTGAAACCCTGTCTCTACTAAAAATACAAAAATTACCTGCACATGGTGATGCACATCTGTAGTACCAGCTACTTGGGAGGCTGAGGCAGGAGAACTGCTTGAACTCCGGAGGTGGAGGTTGCAGTGAGCCAAGATTACACCACTGCACTTTAGCCTGGAGACAGAGCGAGACTCCATCAAAAAAAAAAAAAAAAAGAAAAAAAAGATAGAACTTCCATAAGCCTTTATAACCTTTATTAAGGAATTGGTTAATGTGTCAAGAAAACCTTGTTAATCTTATGCAGGGGCTTATATGCTGGTCTTGCATCATTGTGCCTTTGATATGAATGATTAATTTATAGAGAAGCTGAACTTATTTTCTTTCAAACTTGTCCCTTACAGTGTCACACACCCACCTCTTTTGATAGTCCCTGGACTTGAGGAGTTGAATAGCTTTAATTTCTGGCCCTGTGTCTCCGGAATGCAGTTTATTTTGATTAGCATCTTCAGAAGGGGCCTGAAGATGAGGCTTTCATTGCTGTCAGTGTTTAAGATTTAGCAGGACTTGATGTCCTTTTTACACCCAGGAGTCAAAGCCCTGTAAGTCAATGTCACAAGGACTTTTAAAGCACATGCAGGAAGATACACAGATGTAATCATGTTAATTAAAAAAATTTTTTTTTAATCTCAGTTTTTTCCTAAGCAAACCAAACTTAATAATAGTGGCATAGGAATTATTTCAACAAAATTGAAAATCTGTTAGGTCAGTTACCAAAAGGCAAAAGAAAAGACCTTCTGCAATGCACAGAATATTATGTTAGAAGAAAACATTTCTTTTAGACTTTAAGAAAACGTGCCTTTTTAAAGGAGAGAGACAACTGAAAAAAATGGCAAGATGCAATAAAAGTTGAACTTTCAGCTTCAAAAAACATATTAAACTCTTATATATATATATATATAT